ATTAGTTCTTTTTACATGTACAATATATATAAATATAGATATAAGTACAATATATATTATAAAATATAGATATAATTAACATATATTATGAAATTAAATGATTATGAAAAAAATGATAAAAAAAATGAAAAAAAAAATTTATATTATGCAATTGTATTAAATATAATAATTTTTTCTTTATAATATATGATTTTTATTAAATGTAATTCTATTAACTATAATAGATATTAATCAACAATGTCCTAATGTCTAAAATATTGAATATTATTTAAATAATAATTTAAAGTTTTATAATTTTTTTAAATATGTTTTTAAAAAATTTTTTAATGGAAATAAACTGAAAATTGTATATTATTTATTATAATATGTACACCTTTGAGATATTTTTAAGGTTTGGTGTATAATCATCTAAATTCTGTTATAGAAGCCTCACTTAACTTGAAGGGATATTTTTTCAAAAATTCAATTGAATTTCGAAATTTATTTAATTCTGAAAATTACAAAATTTTTTAATAATATCCTATCATCTTAAGTGATGCGTGTAAGAGAATATAGATTAATAAATATTTTATGAAACATTTTATGATTGATTTTTTTCAGAGTCGAAATTATATATGTATATGTACAAACAAGAAAAAAAATGTTACTTATTTTTTAACTATTGCAAATAAGTGCGTTAATTATATTTTTTTAACAAATTCTTAATAATATATATAATAAAATTTTTTACGGCAAATTTATGGTGAGAGCCTTAATGTGTGTATGTACATATATATATAATATTTCTATATATATATGTATGTATATGCATACTTATTTCCAGTGAATTTATTTTATACTTAAATTTTGTTCTTCAAAGTTAAAATTTTCTTTGAAAATTTTATATTTTCATCTACATGTACGTAGCAGTATTTTTTTATTTCATATATTATATGTATGTAATGCATTGTGAATAGATTTTATTTAATAAAAATATTTAAATATTTAAAAAAATTAGAAATTTTATGTTTTTTTCACAATTTAAACATATTAACGATTCGTTTATTTTGTACATTTTATAAAATATGGAATAACAAAATAAACACAGTTAAGTAGAGTTTAATATGTATATATATAAAATTATATATGTTATATATATAATATATATATATATATATATATATATATATATATAAATATAGAGAAATAAATATATAATTATGTATATATATATATATGTATTACTGTACATATTAAATATATAAATATTTAAATATACATATATATTTTTATATATATATATTATCATATATATTAAATATGTATAAATTATACATATATATATATTACTATATATATATATAGTTAAATTTTCCTATGTTTTTATTATTAAGGTGTATCGTGAAAATGGAATAATAATTGATGTATTTTAAAGCTTCATTTATATTTAGAAATTTTTAGTATAAGTTGTATTTACATTTAATTTATTTTTAATTTTTTTCAATAGTATTTTCTAATAGTATTTTCTGTGTTACAGAGATTGATAGACACTATACTAAATTATAATTTAATAATGTTATTTGTCCTTACCTTAATCTTTTTTTATTTTATATTTTGGTATTATTGCCATAATCTTTAATAATTTTGATAGTATAACTAGGTTATCAAATCAAATTGGGGAAAAGGTATTATTTTTATTTTAGGTATAGGTTATTTTTTTAAATATTTTTTTTTGGTTTCAATTTTCTTTTTTCTTTATTTATTTTAGTTTTCTTTAGAGGAGAAATTTGGGATTCTTCCTGTTTTTTCAACTATAGATGGAGATGTATGATCTACATATTTTTTTTTCATTTTGCTACACACATCAAATTTATACAAACCCAAAAGGATTCAGAACACCTAACAGAAAGAAAAAAAAATAACAAAATAATTTTGAATAAATTATAATTCTAGTAAATATTAAAGAATTTATAGTTGATGGGAATATGCCTATAAATATAGTGTTAGCGAATAAAAATTTATATGTGTTTAATTAAATAAGGTAAATTTGAAAACAAAAAAAAAATGCAAGAAAATAAAATTGGTTTCTAAAAATAATAACAATCTTTATTTGAAAAATTAATTTTATATTACGTAAATGAATGAAAGAACTATTTATATTCTATATATAAATATATAAAATAATAATATATTAATATATATATATATATATATATATATATAAATATATATATATATATATATATATAATTATTATTAATAAAATTATATATATGTTTTATTATATAATAAGAAATGAATAAAGAAAATAATTAATTAATAAAAGTTGCTGTATGTAATTATATTAATATACGTGTATATAAATAGCATTAATATATGTTTATACATATATAATACATATAATATATATGTATTATATATTATATATTATAATATATATATTATAACATATAATATATAATACATATATAATACATATAATATTTTTGTAAGAATATACATATAGCAACATACATCCATCCTTATGTATATATATATATATATATATATACATATATAAATGTATATATATACATTTACATGTATATATATACATGTATATATATATACATATATATATATATATATATATATATATATATATATATATATATATTAATTACAATATCAATGATTAAACTTAACATATGACTCAAATTATATTATACAAAAAAAAAATGAAATATGATATATGAAAAACATTAATAGTTCTACATATAGTGTTGTTTTTATTAATTGAATGTAACAATAAATTTTTAAATAAAATATTTAACATCGTGCAAATAAATTAATTTAATTGTAAATTTATTTACGGATGTATATTGCAAATCCTCTTTTTTTATTGCAACCTATACTCCGTACTCAATGTCTAGTACTTTTTTTAATTAAAAGCTATAATAAAAAAAAGACAAATCATTTGAGATATAATGCGGTATTTTTCAAATATATTGCAATTTTCTGGATTAAATCAATTTCGAAATTCTATACTAAAAACCTAAATAAATTTGAATAATATCCCATTACCTCAATTGAGATTTGCCTAAATTAATATGTTCGAACATTATATTAATATTATTAATTTAAATACATATATACAATGTTACATGAATATTATATTAATTATGTACAGAATATATAGAAGTAGATATTTTATAGTTAAAATGTATGTGCAAAGATATTATGTAATTAAGAAAATTAGGATTTGCTGTTGCTCGCTTATGTTTTTTTTAAAATATAAAGTAAAATTGAAAAAAAATCGGATGATTCTTGATTCAAAATATTATTTGTTTTTTGATGAAATGAACTGTAATAGGGACATTAATGTATATAGAATTAAGATGTATGAAGAAGAATAAACATGATTGATTAAAATGCCTTTAAGTTATTATTTTACTTAATATTTCTTGTTAATTATATTTCAAATTTAAAGCAAGAAAAAAAAAGGTACTATTCAGTGTTATATTATTCATAACTTTTATAGTAAATTATAATGGAAAAAAAAACTTCAAAATTATTTTGAAAAGTTTAAATCCAGGAATAATAACAATATGGTTTTCATTATTTTAATAATCGATAATAAGTATTAGGCAGAAGAATTTTTATTATATTTCAAAAGTTTAAAAATTTAGCATCAAATATAAAAGTATAGCCGCATAGTATGGTTATAAATATGGATATAAAACATTTATAAAAAATAAATATGAATAAAGTTTTCAATTCAAATACATAAAATTATCAATTTTAGTATAAAAATTATTATTTTTATTTTTGTCCACATTACAATTTTTATATTGGCAAATAGAGATTTTCCTATTTATTTCTGCGTTTTTTGCTACATTTTCTTTACTTTTAATTTTTTTGCAACATCCTATTCGACGCTTAATCCAAACGGATTGCAAAATAATGCTTTAAATAAGCAAAATTGTTAATTTTGAATTTTTTTGAAAATAATATTTTTTTTGTAATATCAAAATACTATAGAAGTAGGAAATAAATTTTATTGCAAAATGAGACAAAAATAATTAATGACATGTTAAAGGGAAACTTAATTGCTTATATAAAAATTAATAATTTTTTTTATTAAAAATAGATTATATAAAATTTTTGGTATAATTTTAATCGAAATTTATAATTTGATTATTCATTCATATTATAAATGTTTTATTTTCGTTTTGTTTACCATATTTTTTTCAGTTTTTAAATAATAACAATTATATAACTACAATTATATAACTGTAAATTATACGATTTTTGTTGCAGTTTAACTTAGTTTTTGCCTTCAAATGAAACAAATTGCAATTTAATTTATTATAAATTTAAAAAAAAATATAAGAACAAAAAAAAAAACAAGAACAACAATTTAACATGTCAAGATAATGTAAGCTTTTAACAATCTACCTTTTAATTGTACATAAAAACAAAGATATTATTATTTTTATTATTAATTATTTATTTATAATACTAAACTTAATAAAATTAAAATTTTAATATTACTAAAATATTTTATATAATACACAAAATATACTAGACTATAATCAAAAGAGTGCATTAATTAATAATTGCAATAGAATTTTATTTTTGCATTTTTTTTATTAAATTCCTTCGCTTCTTTTATGTTTTGTTTTTGGTGGTCTTGCTGTTGAATATTATGTTTTCTTATTAGAAAAGAAATCAAATAATTATATTAGTAAAAATTATACATTGTGTTTTTTTTTTTTTTTTGGAAATCAGATTTAAAATTTTATAAATTTCACACCACTCTTATTATAAATTATTAAATGTAAAAATATCAAGAAATGTATATATTTAGATTAATTTAATTGTATTTTATTATTTAAAAAAATAAAAAGAAAAGTATGTGAGATAAAAAGAAGTACTTTTAAATCACAGAAAGTAGGGAGAATAAAACAACGACAACGGAAATTTTTAATTTATAAAAAATATTTTTGGAATCAAACAAAAAAAAAAAGGAAACTTCAACATTTTTAACTTTTTAATTTTTTTATCTTTTGATTTTCATTAATATATATATTTTTTTATTGATATATTGACAAATTAAACAAAATTAAAACAAGAAAAAATATACAACGTTTTTTTTAATAAAAACAACACTAAATTACCTTCGTTCTATTTATAATAAATATATAATAAATATCACCCATGGGACAATTTAAATTTACTAAAACAACAATATATTAAAATTTATATGACCCTACATCTTTTATTTTTTATTTATATATATAAATTTTCACGAAATTAAAAAAAAAAATAACTTTTTAAACTTTGAATCGTTAAAAATTACGTATTTAATATTATTTTTATTATACAAAATTATTTAACAATTAATTTTCTTCCATATTAAAAATTTATTATCCTCCGAAAGTTTCTAAATAGAATTAGAGCACTTTTGTTTTAAATTTTGTTCTCTTATACTTTGATTTCTAACATCTCTTATAATCTTTAAAGATTATATATATATATATATATATATATATATGCTGCTTTGTTATGATAAACCCGCTTTTTACAATAATATGTTAATTAATATTTTCGGACTAGATATAAATTTTAAGAAATAAAAATCTTAAACAATTAATATAGAGAAGAAAAATCTTAAAAAAAATAAAAACAAACTGTACGAAAATATAACTGTTTTTTATAATTCACTTATTTAATATTTATGTATATATATATAAATTAAATTCACTGAAAATATAATTTATCTCTCAATCATTTTTAAAACGTAAAATATTTAAAACAATAACAAATATTAAATTTTTAACTACAAGAAATGTATATAAAATGTTATACAGTAAATTTAAATATTGATAGTTTTTTGTGTTTTTTTTGTTATATAATAATTAAATTTATATTTTATTTCGTATAACTTTAACGTTGTTTATCATATATTTTTGAATATATGACAAAATTTGCTAAGTATGCTAAACGTATAAGTTTATCTATATTGTAAATCAATATAAATATTGATAATTTTATAATATGTATAATATATTATAAATATGAATACTATTTAACATTTATTTTTTAATACGTATATACATAATTATGTAAATTTATAACAATGCATTAAAAATGTTCATAGAGACTGTGACTGTATTTTTTTTTAACTCATCAATTTAACAAATTTATAATATATATTTTTTCTATTGGAAACGTTAATTAATTGAAACTCAATGAAAAATTAAGTTAAAAAATATTAATTGTATTCACAGTGATTTAAAAAAAATGTATATATTAAACTATCACATAAATAGCCGAGAAAAAAACTGTGTATTTTGAAGATTTTTAATTTCACATTTATTATATAGATTTGTGATTTTCTCTTCAAAAATAATTGCGATACATATTACATAATGTGTTATATAATATGTACTATATGCGTTATATAGTTATAAATTCTTGACACAATATATAAAGCTATAAAACTTTGATAACAAATTATAATTATATAATAATATTTTCTTTTTTTAATATTTTGGTATCGAATAATTTAAGTAGGTAATAATCTTTTAATAATATAATAGGTACGTATTATGCTTAATTTACTATTAGAATATTTAATTTTGTAACATATAAATACATATACATTTTTTAATTTTGTTTGTCAGTAAAATTAAAGTTCATAAAAAAAATTATAAGGTAGGGTATATCTACATCTATAGTACAAGCATTGTTGCTTTTTTTTCAAATCTTAATTGGAAGATTGAAGTTACCAATGAAAAGTTTATAGAAATAGATATAGTAAAATAATAATCACTCCGTTACTGAAATGATCAATTCTAATTTTCTCAAAGAATCAACACAAGTTTTTATTGTATTTGAAACAAATTTAAAATACATTTGTACTTCTAATTATTAATTTAAATTTGGTTTCTTAAACAAAAATAGATTTAAACAAAAATAGATTTCGTGTGAGAAATTTTTAATGTTTGCGTCAAATAGATAAAATAATACGAATATAATAATAAATCGGTTTATCTATGAATCGTTATTTAATTGATATTATCTAAAAGAAATTGACTAAATTTTAATTGTGGAAATAATGATTCTTTTCTACATTAGTTTGTTGTTGTAAAACTGCATTTAAAATTTTTTAATCCCTTGCTTTTTAGAATAAAACTTTGTAATCATTAGTTTGCTTTTAATAAAATCTCTTTTGTAAAGATTTAATTTTTATGTTGAACTTAAATAACATTTTGATGTTAATTAAAAAATTATCAATTTGTACTTGGTTGATTTCTTCTAAATAACACGACAGTATGTACTTTAAATATTGTAATAATTTTGTATGTCTTCTGTTTTATTTTTATGGGATCTTTAATTTATAAATATATTACATATATCAAACGTATTATTTATATTATATGCAGTCATAAATTCAGAATTAAATTTGATTTTTAATTATGTTCGAATTAATTAATTTGCGTTTTTGGTTTTATTTATGATTGTAGTTATAAAATTTTTCGATTTGATTGTGTATGTAATTATATATCGTTTAAGATATAATAATATAATGCATTGTACATATATACTTGTATATAATTTTTTAATATAATTATATAGGAAATAGTGATTTGAACATGTTAGGTTGATTTAAGAATAATTAATTATTGCTAAAATGCCTGAAAGGTAAATGGTTTATTGAAGTTATACAATGTGTAATTTATTCTTAATACTTTTTTATAAATATATGTATTCCAAGTTTGTATGTAGTATGTATTTTATATGTGTTAAAATTTTAAAATTCAATGCGAAAATTTCGATTATGACTTTCCATTTTTCATTAAAATATATATATATATATAAGTTATATATTTATTTTCTAAGAGGGTTAAAAAATAATTTTTTTTTTGTTTCGTGTTTATAGTTAAACAAGTGCAAAACATCTGTATATATTGTATATTTATAGATATATATGTATGTATATATATGTTTATTTTAAACATATTGGTTTTTGTTTTATTATGTATTATAAATAGTTTTGTGGGGAAACAATCATTTTAATGTAATTTTATTTTTAATTAAAAAAAAAAGATGATTTTTACTTGAATCCTTTGTATTGCTAATTAAAATACAACTGGGATTTTGCTTCATTTTTCAAAAGTTAGTTTTTTGTTTTATAAACTATTAGGCAAAAGCTAAATTTAACGTATTTTTTTAATATGCAGTGAATTTTATAACTTTATTTAAAGAGAAATGTGTTGTTGCTTTCGATTTTATTTATTTTTAGATACTTAATCATATTCTCTAACACACATCAGTTGAAGTGATATTATATTATTAGAATTGGAGAAGTGATGGAATTCATTTTCAAAACTTTACGAAATTTTTGAATACTTCATTTTATCGCTTCAATTTGATGCGTTTTAGAGAATATGGAAGAATGGGTATTACAAGTTGAGTTTATTTTTTCATTTCTATAACTATTTTTCATAGAAGCTATATAAAACTAGTAAATCTTTCTGTTTTTTTTTTATCCTTTTTAAAAGAATAAAATTTTTTGGATTTTCTCTTTTTCAGGTTACCGCGTATTTCACATTTTATTCTATCTTATTCTTATTGTTATGTAATAATTTATATAATGCGTAAAAAGTATTTATTTATCAAAACTTTAGGATAATGTTTAATAATTTATTTAGCTGTTTATATTTGTATGTAATCATTAAGAAATTTCAATATTGTAAAATGAAAAAAGATATTAATTTCATATTTATTGAATAATTTTTTTTGTCTAAGTAGCTTTTAAAATTTAATTCAAAAGACTCAAGTAAAAATCAGCTTAAATTTTTTAATTCTTTTACTATATAATTATGTAATGATTAATGGTAGAAGTTATATTTCAAAATTTTATAGCTCATATTTTATTATATTTGTTTTTTGTTTTTTTTTTTTTTGAGTGTATAAATTGAGTGACCCAGAAAGAGTTGAAGAACAATATTGATTTTACTGTTGGTTTACTTTATATAACATTTTAAAAGATTATTTAATTTTAAGTTTTTGTATCGTAGTTTATTTTTGTTGTTTTCGTTTTTTTTTTAATTTAATTTTGGTATTTTCCTATATATAATGAAGTTATTTTGTTTTTAAATATAAAAAATAAGAATCTTTTCATATATTTAAATATTTTTGTTTTGTTTTAGTATTTAATAATTTTGTTTTGTATCTATAATTTATTATAATGAAGAAAATATATATAGGATCACATATATATGTATTATTATTTATACTATAATAATGAAATAATTTGTATTGTAACTATTTTTATAAAGTCGTCTTTATTTTGAAATAATAATTGAAAAATGTTACGTTTTCTTCTAATTCATCATTTCACCTTAAATTTTTATATTTTTTTTTTGTTTTTAATTTTTTTTTCTTTCAATAAATCTTAAAAATTTTCTATATTTATATTTTACTAATATGATTATTATATTCCTAAATACTTTTGTTTTTTTTTTTTTCAAATTATTTTATTGTTTTTATTAAATTTAAAATTGGTTTAAATATTTTTCCTAAAAGATCATGTGTATATAATAATTATATAATATGTATATACGCAAGGGTAAATTTAAAAACTGAAATTATTGTGTTCAATATATATGTAGTATACTGTAAAAATATAAAAATATTTTTGCATATTTTAAGTTAAATGTTTTGATTCAATATATATTATGTTATTGTTGTTAAAATAATATTTTTAAATGTTAATATATAGATTATAATATGCTTTTAAAGTGCGTTTAAAGAATCCTTTTATATTTATATTAATTACTTTTTACTATATATTGAGCAAATTTGAAGGATGAGAAATTATTACGAAAAATATTCACGCTGTTTAAAAATTGATTCGCAATTTATAATTATTATATATAATAAATGAATAAATGTATTTCTGTTTTAATTAAATTTCAAATTTCCATGGTGTATTATTATGAAATGGTATATTCAGTACGTATAGCTAACAATTTTACAATTTACCCGCTTAAATGTATATATATATATATATATATATATATATAAGTATATAATATATATATATATGTATATACATACATGACTTGAATGTTCTATTTATATACATTTTATTAGATATCATTCAAAATATATTTAATCTTGAACAATTTTAAATTATTTTAAAATATTTATATCTCGATTATTGAAATATTTTCACATTAATTTACTTTTCAACAAATTAGTTATAATAATGATATTTATATTTCATAATTATACCAATTTTCTTTCTTCATTTTTAAGTGTTGAAATATTTATAAATGTAATAAAATGCCCAATATTTAGGCAATAGAAAATTTAAAATTATTGTTTAATTATAAGAACAATATTATTATTTTAATTTAATAAGTAATAAGAAAAATTATAGAAGTATGTTAAAAACGTAATTAGAGTTTTATATCCTTAAACATTATATTGTATTTATTCTTTTTAAAAATTTTTTTTTGAATATTTTCACTTACTTTAATTTATATAACTGGACGCATATTTAAATTTTATTAAATTTTCTTTTGATAATTCTTTGAGATGTGGAAATTTTTAAAAATTAAACGTTTTTAAATAAAGAAAGATACATTGAAGTTCAGTTCGTTAAAGTATTATGTAATTTTTGAAAGTAAATTAATAAATTTTTAAATGTTACTTATACTTTTCTACAAATGTATAGAATTTTGATTCTATTATTTTGAAATTTTGTTAATATAATTATTTTCAATTCAGAACTAATGAAAAATTGAGAAATTTTATTTTTTGTGAATATTCCTTGCTTATTTATTTATATTTTAGTTTTCTTATTTTTTTTTCATTGAAATAACTAAATTTGCTATTTTTGTTTTTAAGGAAGAGCCAACAAATTTTGAGATAGCATAAAAATAAAGTAAAATTATTCAAGATAAAATTTTATATATTCCATATGTATGTATATATATATTTACAAATATATAAGTAATAATAAAGTATTGTTAGTTTATATACAAATTTCAATCGATTATAATATTACATGTATTTTATACAATTATGTTTTTTTTTTCATTTTTGAATTAAAAGTTTATTTATTTTTAATTTTATTTAATTTTTTTTTATAACTTTTCAATTTATATATATATATATATATATATATATATATATATGTATTTTTTTATTTATATATCCTTTCTTTAATTTGAAAAATTTAATAATTGTCATTTTCTATAATTAATATTAAATGTTAAATTCATTAAAATCTATTGTATTGTATTGTTTGTTAATGGGTTTTGTCGCGCCCTTTTATTTTCTTCCTCGTTGATTTTCTGTTCAATTAAATACTGTGCCATTGTTATGGCATTTTGTGGACCAGTTATAGTTACAATACGATTTCTAGTGCCAGGAGCAAATATTCCTTTTTTTGATATTTGTATATTAGCGCCAGATACATGTTGAATTTCAACTAAACTACGACCATTTGGACCTGAAATTTTTTATTTATTGGATTTTGATTTTTTTATATTATTTATATTAATACTATATACATTTAAATAGTATATAAAAATTGTTATATAATAATAATCTTTTAAAAGGTTTTGTTTTATAAAATATATATAGAGCATTATAAATATTGCTAATTTTTTTTTTGTTATTTTTCATTTTATTTTAATTCTGTATTTATATTTTATTATGTTTTATATAAAATATCAGATAATTATTATAGTTATAGATATATTGTTTTATCTCTTGAACTTTTAAACTTTTCTTTGAAGTTTTTTTTTCTATATATTTCTAAGCTGATTTCGATTTTTATTAAAAAAAAAATATAATGTTTTCACAGGGGATTCTCAATTACAAAAAAGTGTAATATTCTTGAAATTTTGTTAATTGTTTTTATAAATAAAAATTGTGTAATTTTCAAAAGATGTTTATATAAAAATTCCAATTCAAAAAAAAAAAAAATTTTTATATAATTTAGGAAAAGAAAATACAATTAAGTTCTGAAATATTTTTTATTATTCATAGTTGCTTTCAAATCGCAAATTCTGTTCTTTTTTCTCACTCTTTATAATTATAAACCAATTTTAATTGTTCTGAACTAATTTTAATTGTTAAATCTTATTGTTTTTCTGCGTTTGCTCCTTAATGCATAATAGTGTCATTTTAAGTTTATTACATTCTCCATTAACTAATTTATAAATTAATTTTTACTGGAAGACCGTAATATTAATCATAAAAAAATTTTTAACTCTAACCTTTAATTATTGCTCTATTAGATTTCTATAGTCAGTCTATACCTTATTCAATTATATTGGACCACTGTGCCCGCGTTGTACATGTAAAATGTAATAAGTGCGATAAGAAAGCCACTAATTGTAATGAATACTCAAATTAACTTGCAAATCACTCATTGCTTTTTTTTTTTGGAATGCACAATATAATGAAAGTGTTTTATGTAAATGCATTTTGTATTTTATTTATATTTTTTAGGATGATATTAAATATATAATATGTATGTAAAAAAAGAATAGGGGACAGTGTAAAATAAAAAAAAAAAATGGATTGAATTTTCATGGTCAGAGAAAAGTTATTTATAAATGAATAAAAGAAATCTGAATCACGAATATATGGTGGTTGTATAATGATGAAATATATGAAATATTATTATTATTTAAATTATTATTTTATTTTATATAATATGTAATTTTTTCAGTTTTTTTTTTTAACAATGGAAAAAATGTCATTTACCTTTTCTTTAATATTTTCATTTATTTTTTTTTTTCATTTCATGTACTTATTTTTTTTTTGCAAATTTCTTTCACGTCATGGCATATCGAAAAAAATGTCCGTGTTTATGGTGTTTGCTTTTTTTTGAAAAAAATTCATGAACGTTTTGAAAAACTCAGTTATTTTATATTTAATCAAGAAAAATTTTTTTTTTTTTTAAATGATAATTTAGCAAAAAATTATACAATATAATTATGTATATGTCTTAATTTTTTTGAAATTTTATGCGATATGCAATATAATGATCAATGGGTTATTTGAAATTTAATTTTATATATTTTTATTTGATTGACTTTGAAAAGTAAATTATGAAATATTGAAAATGTTATTAATAAAATTTTTTTTTTTTGTGAAATAAAAGTAATAAAAAACTGTTTGTTACATTATTTTTGTATTATAAGATAAAATTCTTAACACATAAACATTAAGAAATAAAATTATTTTTAATAAAATATTAAATTTCTGGTTGTATTTTTTTTTGAAAAATTAAAATACAAAAAGAGAGTAAATAAACATAAATAAGTAAATATAATTAATAAAAAAAAAGAACAATGAAAATTCATTTTAACTTAACACTTATACATTTTTTTTTTATTTTGTTTTACATAATATACACTTATAATTTATGAAAATAAATCAAAAGAAACATATTTTTATTTGAATATTGTGTGAATCATATTGTTTTTAGATTTCATTTTGTTTCTACAAGAATAATGATTTATGAAAATGATGGTAGTCGTTTTGAAAATCAGAAGAAGACAACTTTTATAATGTTTATTAATAATAATAATAATAATTAATGTAAAAATATGATTGCGAAAATTGTTAAAAATGTAATCTCACTACATGTAATATTAAAATATTATTATTATTATTTTTATTTGAACTCAATTAATATTAAAATTCTCTTGATTTGAAAATTATTTAAAATGTATAAATTATTACATTTTAAATTTGAACAGTGCATGAAATGTATTTCAATATATTTTTTTTATTATAGTATGAAATTAGTGAAAAAAATTATATAATATAATTTTAAACTTTTGTAAATTCAAAGTCCCAGAATTTCAAAATAAAAAATAATTACATATATTCACTTTTTAATGCTCAATATAAAAGCGAAGCAGTTTTAATAGAGAAAACATTTAAATATTAAAAACTCTGTTCGATATTTTAATTAAAAAATAATTATTTTAAAAAAATATTTGTTAGAAAATTTTAATTTTCGTTTCTAACTGGAAGGAAATATGATGAATATGTTTGAATAAAAAAAAAACAAAAAAAAACAAAAAACAAATAAAATTTATGTGTAACAGTAGCAGAAACATCAAAAAAGAACAAAGATAAAAATAATAAAAAAAAATCAATTAGTTTTTTTTTTTAATGTATGTGTGTATTTTATATACATATTTATTAAAAAAAATATTAAATTTTTCTTTTTTTTTTTTTTACAATATCCTTTTCACTAATTTTAAGTTTTCTTAGTTAATTTTAAAACCAAATATATACAAATTAAAAAAGCCACAGATACACATATATGTTTATAAATATATATGAATATATATATGTATATATATGTAAATTATATATACAACATGCTTTTTTTATGCATACACAACATACAAGGATCATATAATTTACATATCAATACATGTAACCAAAAAAAAATATACGTAGTCTATATATATATATATATAAACAAATATATATTTACATAAATATATTTGTAATTTTTGTTTTTTTTTTTTTAATATTTAAATTTAAGAAAAATAATAAAAATTTAAAAATTAAAAAATAAAATTTTAATATTTAATTTTTTTTTTTGTAAATTTTTGTTAAGAATTTGTTTTTTCTTTTTATTTCACAATTATTTTCATTTAATTAAACCGAGGTGCCTATATAATATACATACAAAAAAATATTAAAGGAAAAAATTATTTTTTCTTTAAATCCTGTTTCATTTTTGAAAACTGATTTTTTTATGAAAATTTTTATTATTTATTTATTTACGAAAGAAAATTTTGGAGTTTTGTTTTTACTTTACAATTTCTTTTTTCTAAAATTATTTAAACAAATTAATTAACATTTTGAAAAATAAAAATACATTTATAAGTTTTTAGGCAAGAGATTGACTAGAAATCCTCTCAATTTTAAAAATTCAATAAAAACAAAAATATTTATTTATTTTTTTATTCAACTATTATATAAGGTATGTGTTTCTATTTTGTATACGTTAATTACATGTGACGATTCTTGTTTTTTTTTTAATTTAACGACAATTATATAATTTGTAAATTAAATATTTATCTGAAAAAAATTAACTTATCTATTAATATTAAAATTTTAGTAGCCTTCATTTGATTTTGCTGTTATGAAAATTTTTTTTGTTAATGCGACAATGACAATCTCTATATAAAATGTGTTACGCGTATATATATTTGTAAAATATAATTTTTGATATTAAATAAAAAAGCGGATTCCGCTTATGAAAAAAAATTTAGAGACATAAAAGATTGAATATGAAGGAATTTAAAGAAATGTTTAAAGAGAATGAACTCGAAATATGAAATTAAATTATTGCATGTTGTGATCATATTATAAAATAAAATTAAATATATGGATATTTTGAAAAATAATTAAAATATTGAGATATTAAACATTAATGTTTCATTACTCTGTTTTATAGTATTTACGCTATATGTTTTTTTAAGTTTTGAGCTATTTATTTTTGTACTTTGAGTAGAGGAAAAAATTATTTTTTTTTTTTAAATAAATAATTTATGTACTTTTTGTAAAATATTTTCAAATTGATTAATAACAAGAATATAAATTTTTCTAATGAGAAAATAAAATTTTGAAATTAAAATTGATTTTAATTTCATAATAAAAGAATAGCGGTAATTATAATATAGAACAGTTGTATAAAATGATATTGAGTGTTCTTCACAATAAAAAAAAATACTAGTAATTTCTCACAACATTTAGAAATAAAATAAAATTTATTTAATATTTTTTTTTGAGATGCTTATATAATTATTTAAATACATTTTATATATTATTACGATTTGAAGTATTGTGATGCGTTGTTTTTTTTCTTTTTTTTACAATTTAAATAACACGTTTTAGTATAATGCCACTTTATTTTTGTTTTTATTCATTTAAATAATTAAAAATTATAACTAATATAAAAATTGTATTTAGTGAGAAAGACTTTATTTAAAAAGTCGGAAAAATTATAATAAAAATGTTATTTTTTTTTTTTAATTTTATGTAGAATAGAAAAAATGGTAAAAAATAAAAATGGAATTAATTAAGAAAACTTTTTTTTATTTTTTTTTTTTTCAAAATTATTGCTTCTTAATGCATCAAATTGTTTATTTTTATATATATATAAAAATATATATAAAAGGAGAAGGCAACACCTATACGCACCTCTAATTTATAATTGACATTTGCTTTTATTTGATTAATTTAGATTTTAAGTTTATTTTAATATTTAAATCTACAATAATTATTGCGGAAAAGAAATTATTCTATTTTTCAATGTCAAATAACTTTAACTAACAATGAGATTTAATATATATATATTCATTTTTTGATTAACTCAATCGGAAAATTAAAAATTTAATAAAATGATAATATCACCAACAAAAAATTAATATATTATTTATCAATGTATTAATAAGTAATTAAAAAACAATAATAAGTGATTTTGTTAATTTTACATTAATGTAATTTAACGAAAAGTTAATGAATCGCTTATTAAATTCAGAAAAAATTTCATAAGTTGTAAATATTGAATAAAAAAGTTAATTAGATCTTAGAAAATAAAATTTTGTATATTTTTAATAAAATAAAAATTGATTTTGGTTCTTATTTCAGTTGCAATATTTTAATGACAATTTACACTGTTCGTCATTTGGTACAATGTCTACTATATTTATATTTTAAATTTCATATTATAATTTGCTAAATTTTAGAAATATATTAGTTGTTATTATAATATTTGAATTTGTAAATTTTATTTTCCTTCCAATTTAAAATTTATGAATATTCTTTAATTGATTTAATCAAAACAATTATTATAATAAATCTCATTTTGCTTTTGTTATTTCATGTTAAATTATATGTAAATTTAAGATAATTATTTTTTGATTAATTAATTTGAAATAAGAAAAATATTATATATTTAATAATAATTTTTTTTTTATATAAGTAATAAACAATTTTTTTTATATATATTGTATTTTTTTTAGGTATCAGAATATGACTTTGCTTTTTAAAAATTAAATTAAAAATAATTTAATTGTATAAATTACAAAATTACATGATGTTTTATATTATATAATTCGTTCTTCTTAATTTTTTTTAACTTAAAATACAAATTTTTTTAATCTAAAATTTTTATAAATTTTCGTATTGAAAAAAAGGTAAATGCATTTTTTTCATTTTTGTTTTTCTTTTTTCAATTAATAAAAGGGAATTAATTGAATTAATTTTCACTTTTGTGCTTTTGTCTTTTTTAATATTTTGTCTTGTTTAAAAATTATTTATAAAAGTAATAATAATATAATATATTTTCGTCCGTTAAATATATGTATAATATATATAAAAAAAAATATTAATTTTAAATTTAATGGTTATATAGGCTATAAATCTATAATTCAAAGAAAAACAATTAAATTTTGAAACCATGTTCCGAATAATTAATAAAAATAAAACCTTAATTAATGTAATTGGAAAATATTTTTCTCTCAATATTCTCATTTTTTATAAACATTTATACAAAATTAAAAATAATTACAGAAGTAATAAAAAAAAATTAAATTTAATAATTACAAAAACAAAAAAAGGAAAAAAAAAAACAAAATCCTACACAAAATAAAACAAAACAAAATTAAAACTTAAATAATTGTTTTTACATTTTATGAATTTTTGCAAAGACTTGCGGGCTTGTATTTTATTGTATTTCGTCAAATTTTTAACATAAAGTTCTATATTTTAATAATTTTTTTTGAATGCAATAAATCCAAAAATTGAAACAGGATTAAGAATGAAGATCAAAGATTTTTTTTTAACTTTTATTTATAAAAACAAAATATCATAGTTAAATGATTTCGAAATTCTCTAATTTAATAATGTAATTTATAAATATAAAGTGAAATGTTTTTGGAGCAAACAGAGTTCAGAGTGTCAAATTGTGAAACAGATTTGTAGAAAGAAATAATGTGCATTTTTATGTGTCTAAATACTTTTGGTAACAAAAAAAATTTAGATACAAACCACATTTTAATTATTATAATGAAACTCAATAAGACTTCATAGTACCATTTAAAATTTTGTGAATTCATAATTATGAAAATGTACTTTATATCGCAATCAATAAGTTCTTTTAGGTGTTAATGTGATGTTTTATGTTTCTTATTTTTATTAGACTCTATAAAACTTATGTTTGGTGTCAATTATCTTATTCAATCAATCATTTCATATTAGAAATATAATTGTGATATCAGAATTTAAAATAAAAATATATTTATATTTTGAAGATAAAAAAAATTTTCAATTTTATATGAAATAATTGTAAATTATTTATTTTTACTTCTTCGCGGTGGTTATTCATTTTGTTCTCAATTTTTAACGGAATTCCTACGATTTGGATTCATTTGTATGGCACTTTAACAAAAGTTAAAAATATTGTACGTAAAATATTGAAGAAATATCAGAAATAATAAGGCGAAAAGGTGTGTTTTTGTTAGGCATAGAAGAAATAGAAATCGTTGTTTTTTTTGTTTTTCTTCATTTAAATTGAAATTCTTTGGGTAATTTTAATTTTGTGTATTTAAAAATACAAAATTTTATATTAAGCAAACATTATTCAATACGAGTATATAAAAAATTTTGTTAGAACATTCAACTTTATGTTAAAAATTTAACTAAAAAACAAAAAAAGCATTTTAACATAAAATTAAAACAAAAATTACAGCAAAAATATAAAAGTTAAAAATTTAGGTGCAAAACATCATTTATAACATTTAGATATAATTTTTTTTTTTTTGTATATTTTTTATTGAAATTGCGGTTTTTCTTTTTTTTTTTTACTTTTTGGTTACTATTAAAAACAAAAATTCAAACTATTATTATATTTAAAAAAATTAAATACACAAAAATCAAGTAATATTTAATTATTTTTCTGCTTAATTAAAATTTAAAACTTAAAAACAAAATTAATGACAAACGAATTAAACAAAAAAAAAAAAAATGGAAAAAACTTCAACGAGTTAAAAAATAAAAACAACTGTTTTAATGTTTTATATGATTTAAAATTAAAAAGAATTGGCGATAATTATAATTATGTAAATGTTATATAATAATAAAACAATTAACACTAAACGTACACATATATGTATTTATAAATATCTATATATGTGTATGCATATGTAAATTTTGTATACACATATATATATATAAGCATAGTTAATATGTATGTGCATAAATTTCCGTTTTCTCTTCTTTAAAACAAAATTAAAAATACAAAATTTAAAAAATCAATTATTCAAAATTTAATTAAAATGTATTTTAATTAATTTATTAATTAATGAATGAATTAATAAACCAAGTTATATATTTATAATTGTATATATGTATACATTTATATATATACGCATTATTTACACACTTACACATACAGATATTACGAAATATATGCATGTGTATATATGTATGCATATTTATGAATATTATAAAGAATATATATGTGTATACATATATTTATGTATATGTATTTGACAAAAAAAAAAAAAAAAAAAAAAAACAAAAATATTTTATTCTAATATTGGTAGAAATAATTTTGTTGCCCACCTAATATAGCGCCTACAATTACTTCAGGTATTTCACAATTTTTAGTATCCTTAGCACCTAAATCACCTGGTGTTGGACTTTTACTTAATGCTCCCAATGTTTGTGCTGCTCCTAATGCCTGTGCTTGAGCTTGTGCCGCTTGACTACCGGTTGTTGCTGCCGCTAAACCAAAACTATTATTATTTATTGATATTGGTGTAACAGCTTGTGATGTATGTCGGAATGGATCAAATGCAGCCGCAGCCTCTAATGCTGCACGTGGTGTTTGATTTTGTGCAGCTTGAGATTGTCCAGTTATATACTGTTCTATATTAACTTGCCCCAAAGCTCCAAAAACACTATTTGCTGCTGCAGCTGCTGTCTGTTCTAATGCTGATACAGCACCTAAATAGCCAACTGGTGATGTATGAGCTCCATTTGCATGTGGTAAACCAACACCAACACCTAATATACCATATTTTGCTAACACACCTAATGCTGCAACAACTTCTGTTGTTACATTATCTGCATAACCTGCACCCCTCATGGCAACCTAAAAAGATGTAATTATTACACATAATTATTATGGATTTTATAAATTATTTTTATAATGAAAAAACAATTGCAATAGTAATGATTGTCGAAATAGTTATGAATTACCAAACTATGTAATATGCTTAAAACCAGAAATATTGTACAGAGTAGAGTTGGTTATAAGGGATAAATTTTTACTGTGATTTTTTGCAATTTCACTTTCTTCATTAAAAAAAAATATTTTGAAATTTTCTTAAACAATTAAAAATTCGGAGGTCTGTTATTTTAATTTGCACATATTTATTTCTAGCAAATTTACGCAGTAGAAATTAAATTTGCATAAATTTAATTTGGCAGCTGAAACCCAACTTCCACAAATTGAATTTGTAAATGAAGAAGGACAAAGCTGATAGTGAAATTATTACAAGCCGGATTTGAAGTTGAATGTACTTGAAACAAAAAATTTTCATGCGTTCCAAATAATTAACAAAAAAAAACACTTTTCATTGTCATCGGGGATGAACATGTGTCTATGTATTTTATGAAAGTTAAACAATTAGAAAAAAAAAAAAAATTTATGAAAAATAGAATTATGAAGAAATAAGACTGAAATAATATAAGAAAATACTTAAAATTCTCATAGACAATAATTACCCTTTTTGATTTTACCTTGATATGATCTAATAATTGTGTAGCAATAGCTGGATTTGGTGATGGATTTGGTGCACCCAAATTCAATGATAAATTTAAACCAGTACCATTAACTAATAAACCAGCTGCTGTTGCAGCACCACCAACTGTAGTACCTAATGCCGAATTTAATGAAGCTGTACTAGAACTAATAGCATTCTGATTTGTTGCATATGGGGAACCAGTTGGATTATAATTAGCTACTGGGCCATTAATGTCAGCATATGATACATTTAAACATGTACCAGATTGTGGATCTTCAACAATTTTAGATAATATCATTTTACATGCAATTTTATTGTTATCTTTATCACCAATAATTGTTATACAACGTTCTTGTAATGTTATATCTTTTGGCTTTTGTGATATTTGTACATAGGAACCACTTTCTTCCTTAATTTGTTTAATATAGGCACCAGCTTTACCAATAATCATACCAGCTGTTGAATTTGGTACTAAAATTTTAACTTGTTTATCACGTTCTTGTGCTTGTTTTGCTTCAGCATCAGTTAATTTTTGTGTTAAATCTGGTTTTTCACGTATTTTATCCATAATGAAATCTAAAACGTTCATTATGGCATCAACTGAACCAGTTATTAAACAGACACGTTCCGAAGTGCCTATAAATATATGTCAAAGTAAAAATTAAATTAATTTAAATTATATTTATGTATATAATATTTTATTGATTATTTACCTGGATAAAAATCATGAGACTTTGACATTTTCACCCTGGCTCCAGTGTCCCGCTGCAGAGTAGCAATTGTTTCGCCACCTTTACCAATAATTGCACCTGCTGCAACAGCAGGTACAAGTGTCTTAAAATGGTATGTTGTTTCACCGCCACCTGTAATTAAATAAAAAAATTGTAAAATTTTAGATTTAATATTCAAATTGCCTAAGTTATAAATTAATATAATTGAGTAACTAATATGATAATATTTTGATTCATTTAATTCCAATGAAAAGTTTAGGAGAAAAATTATACTATAATTCATTTAATGTAGTTTCTTGGGAACTTGTATTTCGAAACACATATATGTACATACATATACATATATACATTTTCATTTTATTCTCTGGAGCATTATCAGTTTTATGAGAACATTAATGTTTTTTATATATAAATATATATTTTGAAATATTATATACGTGCAGCGTATAACTTATAAACTACATAACACATAAAATTTATAATAATTATTTATGTTTGCAATTTTTATTTGATAATTTAAGGTTACATGCATATGGAAATTTTTTGAATTAAAGTCAGACTGACCAATTATATTTGTCAAGGGATTTAATAATATTTTCCATTTATACTGCAGAATAAAAATTCAGAAATTGGAGCTTGACATAATATGTTATCCAGTTTTATTTTTTTTTTTCATAATATTCTATGTTCTAGTTTCTATATATAATTTCCAAGATTATTATGTTCTGTACGTGTTATATAAACGTAGTTATAAGTATAGTTAACATATTATAATAAGAAAGACTAACTAGTTTTATATATATAACTTTTAATTATATTGCATGTGCCCGGGTGACACAGTAACATTTTAAAATTAAAACCACACAAAAAAAATAAAAACAAACAATAAATGAAACCAAAAGTTCATTTTTTGGTTTTATTTTTATATTTTTCTACTTCTTGTTTTTAATCCCTTTTCCTTCATTTCTTTTCATATTAAGTAAAAAGAAAATATTGTATGTGTATAAGTAAAAAGATGTAGGTCAATATTCAAATTAGATATCATACTCGTATAAAAGGGATGTTATTATCTCTCTTAAATATTTCGTTTTATTTAATTCTATGTGCAATATTATGTATATAATAAATAGAATTATATATAATATGCAAGCATTTGTACAATTTTAAATAGTATACGAGTTACCTATTAAGTTTACAAAGGACAATCATAATTATAAATTGCATATATGTTTGTGCATATAATTTCTATCTATCACTTTAATTCAGGTCAAATTTTACTGATCTTAACATCATGTACACTCGACATATTGCACCCATTTACTTTTGCTATATACAATATAACTTAATTTAGAACAAAATTAGAATGTATAAGAAAAACAAGATGTTAAACTTAACTAATAGACCAACAATATTTGCCTAGTTCATTCATATTAGTTATTATTTGTATGCATATGTACTAAAATTCGCTATATGCAAAAATAACAAAAATATTTGAATGGCTTACATTTTTTTGCTTAACATAATGTCCTAGAAATTTTTTAATTCAAGCAATTTTTATATTTTTCTTTGTACCTATATGTAAAAGTGTAATGAATTGAAATCGTACATATCAAAACATGTTGATGTACAAGTGCATGTTCACAAAAAAAAAGGTGTTCTCATTAATAATTTTCCTATTTTTAAATTTTGCAAAAATTACTTATAATTTAAATTTCCAAATAAAAATTTTATATTTTAATAATAAGCATGTACATATTTTTGTTTGTAAAATGAACGAGAAATTATTGAGAGGATTTCAGTTTGGTATAATTTTGGATTTTTATTTTTCTATATTATTCATGAATCCTTGAAGGTCTTGCAATAATATTTATAAAATTTCAAAATCAGATTAAAAATGGGGTCATCTACAATGAATTAAAAATATAAAATTTTTAATATTATATTTAAACTTCATACTCGTATTAATTTTAAGAAATTCAGTCTCAATTAATTCAAAACAAAAAACTTTAATTAATTTTTTAGTTAAAATGTAAAAATTTACGGGAAATTGCCAGTTAATTTCAAAATTATTTAAATTATTATTTTTCTAATTAATTATAATTGTAGAATTTTCATTTAGAATGAATTTTCAAATAAATTATTTTGATTTTGTTAAAGTAATTGTTCTATGTAAAATAACGTTGTATAACAATTTTTTACATAGAACTAACATAACATTTTATGTTAAAAGAGCATAAAATTTTCATGTAAATTTTCATTCGTTTTGACATTGAACAAGTGTATAAAATATGAAATTTTGTTTGTAAGTGACACTTTATTTTGTATTTAATAAAGATTAACTATAAAGTAATAAATTGTATGCAATAAATGTTATACATATAATTTCGGGTAAATATATGCAGTAAAAATTGGTTATAATACGAAAAATTTTAAAAGTTTAAAATTTTTTGTATCATTATTTTTGTATTTCAAATTACTGCATTTAATTTTAGTTGCTGCTGTATAAAAAAAATCATTGAATATTTTTAATTAGAAAAACTTAAATTGCTATTATCAATTAAAAATTCTAAAACTTTTTAAAAGAAGAAAAAATTTAATGTCGAAAAGAAATTTTTATTGAAGCCACTAAAAATGTCAGGGTTTGCCAATAACTCGAATCACATCAAATTAATCAAATTAAATAAAAAAGTGCAAAATTTCATATTGAAAATAGCAAAAATTTTTTTTTTTAAATTTTTGCATTAGTTGTAATGGAAATCAATTCTCTTCGATTCTTTGAATGCTCACTCAAATCGAGGATTTACTGTACGAGGATAAGTACGTGATGTCATATAAGATGTTACCCTCCCTAATTCTATTGATTATATACCAATGGAAATTTACATAATAGAATGAAATTTTTGTACATAAATATTATAAACAAAACTCTTTACAATTATATAATAGATTGCGAATTTATATAATTTAAGATATGAATGGATTAAAAGTACTTGAAGCAGAAAATAAGAAGCATAACGTAAAAAATGAAAGAAGAACGCAAAAATTTAGTTTAATTTCGTTCTAGATTTAAAATTTAATCAAATTAATTTAAAACGTATAGAAAACACTCAAGTATTCAAAATAGCCTGCAAAAAAGTGTGAGCATTTTTGATTTTAATTTTTGCTTTGTTAAACACACAAAATAATTATTTAACATAGGAAATGTGCTTCCTTTAAAAATCTTTAAATTCATTTTTTATTATTTAAATGTTAATTAGATCTTGCGTATATGGGTGAATAGATTTTAGAAACAAAAAAAAAACCTGAAAATATGAAGTGAAAACGGACGAAAGTTCGTAAAAATAGAATTATTGTTTCCGTTCTTAAGTTTTAAAAAATTTTCTTTAAGATTTTCAGCTTTTGTGTGTATTTTTCATTTTGCTCTTTTTTGTTTAACTTTCTTTTAATCTAGAACAAAAAAAAAAAATTATAAAACAAACTTTTAAGAAAATTTTTTAGCTCTTTCTCAATTTTCCATTTAAATAATTTTTCAAGGAATAAAAAAGATTTTAAACTAACAAAAAAAAAAAAGAACTTTTAATTTCGTAAAAGTTAGTTAAAAGAAAAGTAAAGAAAAAAAAATAAAATTAAAAATAAAACAAGAAAATAGCGATAAAAATGATGAAAATGACGGAAAAACGTTCTTTTCCTCCGTTTTTTCATTCCGTGGTATTATCACGCGAAAAATTAAATATTTAAATGACCTACTTAAAAATTTAACAACCGCACTTTAGTTTTCGCTCCTCTGGTCTTTTATTTAGTTTCTTTATTTTTTCTTTTCTCTTGCTTTTGTTTGAATGAGATATTTGAATGAGAATAGAAAAATATTAATCCTTTCTTATAATTCGACCATAATTTTTATTTTATGTTGTAATTTATCGTTATTATTAAGTGCTCTTATTAAATAAAATCTATTTATTTCCTATTATTTGTTGTAATGCTAAGTAATTTTGAACACTTTTATAATTATAATTTTTAAGTTGATCTCAAATTATTTACGATAAAAAAATTAAATATAAATTAAATTCTGTGAAACGTTCATTTCAATTTAAATTAATAATTTTATTTAATAGGTTTTTATTATGATTTATGATATCTGTAGTAAATCGGCTTAGTAAGAGTAAAGTATATTTCCAGAACTTTAATAATCTGACGATCATCTGAATATCATTAACCATTTTCGTATCCATTTGAAAAGTGTATTTAGTTAAAGTCTCATTTTCACATTTTGTTCATACAAAACATAAACTCAAAAGTAACTTAAGACACTAAAATTAACGGGGCTTTTGACGTTCAATTTTTTTCCAAATGGCGTTCTGTGAAAGTGCCTAATAATTTCTATATTAGTTTATTCAAAAATAATTATTATAGTTAAAAGACCTAAATTTTTAATTATTTCCAATTCATATTCAAAGTAAATTTTAAACACAAAACCAATCCTTTAAAATAAAAATTTTGCAGGTCTTTGAGAAAAGAAAGTATTGAAAATACTTGGTGATGTTTTGGTGAGTTTCTCAAAGAATGTTGCAACACTCAACAATATCAATTCAACCCCTATTTCTACATGACAATTTTTTTTGCCTTTTTTGTTGAACATTTTGGCAATAAATGTAATCGTGGTTTCAAAGGGTCCAATGCATTTTATTTCAATTAAATTGATATTGAAAATAGTTTGTATACTCTTTAAATGTTATCATTGCTGTTCAAAAATGTTCAAACTAAAAATTATTCATAAATAATTAATATAAAAAATTCTTTTGTCAGCATTTAATCATCATTAAAAAAAATATAGATTTTCATGTATAGATTGCTGATACAAGAATCAAGATATCCTTTTTATTTTTATAATTGAATTTCTTAAAAACTGAAATCTATACAGACTAGAGCATACATACATACACACACACGTATGTATTTAAAAAATCATAAATTTTAAATCGAATATAAAAAAAAATCTTGAATAGTTTCGGATGAGAAATTCTTGACGTTGATGTTAGTATATTTTTTTTATGTTTAATTTTTAATTGGCCCCACAAAATATTCTTCAATAAGTTCTGTTTTTTCTCTCCTTTTATTTTTCTGTTTTATATTAA